TCCCCATCCCGTCCGTCCCCCACTGGACTGGTGCAGCACCACCTCACACCAGCCCAGAGAACCTGCTCACGTTGGTGACGCTCATGTTGATCGAATACACCCCTCCAACCACGAGTGGCGACAGCAGCGGCACGACCGACACGCTGTCGAGCACAAAGTCGACGCCGCTGATGGTGTAGGGCAGCGCCGCAAAGCTGTTGGAAGAGCCGTTGGCAGAGTTGGTGCAGTTCACGTCCGCCACGATCTTCAGCGTCTTGGCGCCAATCACCCCGGCAAGCGGGAAGTTGAGCACGGTGACGGTCTGGGTGGCGCCCGCAGCAATCGGCCCCAGCGTGCCATTCACGGCACCGACGGCGCCACACACTGGCACGCCAAGCAGGTCGTCGAAGATGGTGTAGAGGCCGGCGGCGGACGCAGCGGTGCCGGAGTTGACCACATCAAAGGTGAGGTTGACCAGCTGACCCAGCGGGAGGAGCCCCGCGAGGGTGGGGCTGGCCAGGATGTTGGAAACGCCGAGGTTGGGCAGCAGGGCGCCGGTGTTGTAGGGCAGCGCCGCAAAGCTGTTTGAGGAGCCGTTGGCGGAGTTGGTGCAGTTCACGTCCGCCACGATCTTCAGCGTCTTGGCGCCAATCACCCCGGCAAGCGGGAAGTTGAGCACGGTGACGGTCTGGGTGGCGCCCGCAGCAATCGGCCCCAGCGTGCCATTCACGGCACCGACGGCGCCGCACACTGGCACGCCAAGCAGGTCGTCGAAGATGGTGTAGAGGCCGGCGACGGAAGCGGCGGTGCCCGAGTTGACCACGTCAAAGGTGAGGTTGACCAGCTGACCCAGCGGGAGGAGCCCCGCGAGGCTGGGAGTGGCCAGGATGTTGGTGATACCCAGGTTGGGCACCAGGCTGCTGGCGGGGCTGCTGATGTTGTAGGGCAGCGCCACGACGTTGTTAGTCTTGTCGGCCTCAAGGCTGGAGCAGTTCGAGTCCGCCACAATTTGCAGCGTGTTCAGCCCAGGGATGCTGGCGAGCGGCAAGGCCGGCAGGTTGACCGTCTGGTTTGCACCCGGCGCGAGCGCGCCGAGCGCGCCGGATGCAGTGCCGAGCGCGCCGCACAGCGGCAGGCCGAGCAGGTTGTTGAAGATGGTGTAGAGGCCGGGGAGGGACGCGGCTGTGCCCTGGTTGACCACGGTGAAGGTGAGGTTGAGCACCTGACCCACGGGGAGGAGCCCGGTGAGGCCGGGGTTGGTCAGGACGTTGGTGATGGCCAGGTCGGGCAGCGGGCCGGCGGGGACGGCCAGCTGGTAGGCGTAAGAGGCGGTGTTGTCGGCCTCGCTAGACTCAGCCACGCTGCAGGGGTAGTCCACGATCAGCTGGAGCATGTAGGCGCCGATGGCGCCTGGCAGCGCCACGACAGCTGTGATCGTCGTCGCCGCGCCTGCCGCGAGCGCGGGGACCCCGGCGACGATGGAGGGGCCGGCGGCGTTGCAGACGGCGACGGTGGCCTTGTTCGCCCAGAGCGCGTAGGTGGTCGCAGGCGAGGGATTGGTGCCGGCATTGGTGACTACGAAGGTGACGTTGGCCGTCTGGCCCGGCAGCAGGGTGGCGGGCGGGCCGGCGTAGCCAGTGATTGCGAGGGCCGAGGCGACGAGGTTGACAGTTGAGGTGGGGGCCGCCACAACCGTGTAGCTCAAAGTGAGCTGGTCATTGGTGTCGGATTTCTGTGAGAGCAGGGGGTGGCGTGCAAGGGGAAGAGGGCGGCAGCGGCGAGGCTGGTGGGTGGGCAGGCTGGGCGCGGGCCGCATTGTGAGCGGCGCGGACCCCAGTGAGGAGGGGTGCGTAAGCGCCCCCGAGTCTAGCTATTTCGGATCAGGCAAGCCTTCCAGGTTCAGGTCCCAGGTACACGATGCAGACGCAGAAGCCTATAGGAAGCCCCCAAACACCGCCCAATGGAGGCGCAGGGTGCAGGCCCCAATGCAGCTGGTAGCGTCCAGCCACCACGCCATTGCCGCTGTGACGCGCCCTTGCAGTCACCCCCCTGGCCCGACTGTGCGGACGGGCGCACCTCGGGGATGGCACAGGTTGGGTCGGAGTAGGCCCGGAACGTCTTGTTGCCCACGGCGCCGGCAGTGAAAGTGAAAGAGACATTCACGCTGGCCCCAGCGGCGATCAACCCCACAGTGGCGTTGGTCTGGTCGGCGGCCTCGCCGCACGCGGCCTGGACAGCCTTGTCCGCCCACACGCCGAGGCTTCCCGGGTTCGCGGCGACCTCGCCGGTGTTGGTGACGGTGACGCCGGCGGTGAAGGGCTGGCCGGTCACGGGGCTGGTGGGGGTCAGCTGGATGGCCGTCACTGCGAAGTCGGTCTGGAGGGCTGCGCGGGCAGGTAGCAGGGGGGTGGGGGTACCGTTCACGAGGGGCGAGGGCAATGTCAAGGCAAAGGTGTAAGGGCTGGGAGCGCAGCGTTAGCGTTGCAAAAGGGGCAGCCACACAGGGGCTTCGTGTACAACGGAGCACTTGAGAGACGTTCTGCGTGAGCAGCGCGGGTCGGACAGCTAGATAGGTGGCAGGTCTTCGTGCCCCCCAACCCATGCGTGCATGTCAGCTCTGCCCAGGCGCAGGCAGGCCCTTGCCCCGCAGCGCCCTGAGGCCCCTCTCCAACCTGGCTGGATGTTGACGTTGCCGGTCAGGCAGCACGGCAGCGACTTGGGCTTGGTGAGGTTGGCCGGCTTGAACTTGGAGGTGGTCACATTCACCTTGCACGTCGTGCCACCGCAAAGCGAGCCGACCGTGTTGCAAAGACCGGCGGCGGCTGCGCGGGCGGGGGGGGGGGGTGGCAAGGCGTGAATTGCGGCTGCGACTGATGAGGCATGTGAAATCAACGCATGAGGGCAGCTGGCTGGGCGGGTGCAGCAACCACAACATACGCCTCACTGTGGTTTTTGCATGCATGCAAAACATGCATACATGCATTACCCTGAGAAGCAGGGGGTTGCGCCTGCAATCCTTGCAGCGCTGCGCAGGGCTGCGTGGCGCCCCAACTGGCTGGCCCCCCTCACCTGGCAGGTTGATGCAGACGGTCGTGCTGCCAAGGGCCTTTGCTGTGGAGGTCTTGGGCGCGATCCTGACGTTGGCATCTGCTTTCCTGCTGGCCTTGTTGATCTTGAACCTGAACGCCGTCTTGGCGTTGGTGCCGTCAGCGAGGGAGAGGGAGAAGTTGCTGGTCAGCCCCTTGACGATGCAGGTTGGCACTGCGGGGTGTGACGGATGCGAAGCGGCGAGGGATTTGTGGGCGTGAGCTTTGTACGGTTTCCTTTGTTTTGCGTTTTTGTGTTGAGAGGAGACTTCAATTGCTTGGGCCGGCTGCCTGTCAGCATGCCCCCGGCATTGCCAGCCTGCCTCAAACGCCCCAACCACTGACCGTTTGCAGCTGAGTTTTCAGCTGGCGGCCCCTGGCAGACGTGTTGGTGCGCAGGGGCACTGCGTCGTCCCCCGTCGGCCCCCCTAGCGTCCTGCCCCTGACATGCGCAAATGCACACACGCACACGCCAACACCACTCCCCAAATCAGCAGCGCTGCTTGCAGCTGGGGACAAGCAGCAGGCAGCCCTTGCTCGCGGGCAATGCGACCCACAAAGCGCGACTCACCGATGGCGATAGACACGGTGCTCAGTCTGGTGATGCCGCTGTTCTTGCAGCACAGCGCGGTCGAGTTGCAGGGGCTCGCCGCGGTCAAGTTGAAGCAGTAACGGTTGTACGTCGTCTTGGGCTTCTTGATGTAGCTGAGGGTGGTGTTGAGGACCTTGGAGGAGTACTGCAGGTCAAAGTTGGTGCTGGGCGTGGAGAGGACCCCTGCGTAGCACGTCTGGGCGGCGGCCGGGGCTGCGATGCGCCGTTTTTGTAGGGAAGAGGTGTGCGAGGCGGCGGAAGGGGGGTCATCAGAGGGCGTGGTAGGGATCGTGCACACCGCAGCCGTAAGCAGCCGCAGGAGCATGGCATGGCGGGGCACGGGAAGCGCAGGAATGACTATTCATAACGGTGTTCTCTGTTTCCTCAGGGCACTGCAAGCTTGCACGGTTCGTGCCCAGGCCTCACCGAGCAGCAACACCAGGGCAGAGCAGATTACGGCAGCTTGCAAGCCGCCGGCACGCTTTCCACCCGATGCCATGGTTGCTTCAGTACAAGACTAGGTCTCTTACCTGCACTGGGCGGGGGGCGGTTGACGTGGGTAAGGTGGAAGCAAGGATCATTCCAATCCAGCCACCATGCATATTAAGTAACGGCGGCCTACCGTGCCCGTGAGCGTCACCCTTCCCCAAATTCCCAGCAGAGTGCTTACCAACAATTTACCACAGGTTTGATGCTTGCAGTGCGTTTGTGAACCACTGGACTTCTGGTCGAGGTTGTTCGCACAGCACGAGCAGGCGTTTTTGAAGGCTGTCAAGCCGCCGAGCAAGCTTGTTGCAATATACTTGTTGAAAAGCGAGTGCGATCGCCTTCCGAGCCTCGACCGAGTGACCCCGTCGTGGCTGCGGTGGCCTGGCCGGCCAACAGGCCAACGGTGAGTAGTCGGGTGGGGAAGAGGGGCATGGAGGCATGGGCCATTTCGAAATCGATTCGTAGCTGTGCCGAGGCCAGCCGGTAGGCACAGCTACCTTGCCGGCAGCTGCGCAGTCGAGCCAGGGCAGTGCAGGAGCGCGCGCAGGCATGGCACATCATCTTTCTTTTCTAGGCTCACGCAGCCCAAGCGCTGTCCTGCGCGGTCTTTCTTTTCTAGGTAAGGGGGGGGAGGGGGCGCAGGCGTGTGCCGGGCCAAGATATCACTGTAACATACAGGCTGGTGGCTGCAGGAGCACACAACCACAGCAGGCAGCACATCGCCACAGCACAGCGCTGCAGGGCAGCCGTAGCTGGCGGCGCGTGGCAGCACACGGCAAAAGACATCGATGCATTCTCAGCACAGCATGAGCATTATCGGGCATCTGCGTTTGGTGCACATGGATTGATGGCGAGCTTTCAAGGTCCAACGCCCTCGCTTGGGGGAGAGTACGTGGCCTCGATAGTCGGGATGTTCCAGGACTGCGCGCTGCACGGGGCAGGTGGGACGACAGCTGAGGTTTTAGGGTTGAGAGTTTAGGACTTTATTTCGTGTTTAGGCTGCCGGATCTGAATATGGATAGGGAGGAGGGGAGATGAGGGTGGACGGGGGGTTCCAGGGTGGTGGTGGTGGGGTTGGGGGGTCATGTCGAAGCTCAGATGCGTCAAGGCGTGGTCAGGGGGCAACAAGGGATCGAGGGGCTGGGAGCTCAGCTGGTTGTCACGCGCTGACTGCCAATCACAGTGTGCGGCGTGAGCGATAATCGCCGCAGCGTTGCGCCCGCCTGAGGCTCTCTCTTGAGCGCCGTGCACACCCATGCGCGCCCGCGGCGCTGGCCCCCCGCCACTCCTCCGCCCTCAGCGCGCCTGGAGGTGGCGGCCAAGGCGGGGACCCCCGTTGAGCTGCTGGAGAATGGGTTCAAGCAACCGGCTGGCCCTGGACATGATCGGCAAGCTTGAGGGGCCCCTCAAGCGGGGGAGGGTGGGCCGCAATTGATTGTTTGTTGGCAAGGGGTGGGGGGGCACATCGCTCAAAAGTTTCGACTGCATGGTGGGGAGCACGGACCGCAATTGATTCTACTTGGCAAGGTGCCACCTTGCCAAGTAAACAGTGGGGGGGACGCGCCGCAGTAGAATTTCTTGGCAAGGTGGGGGCTGTGCCCAGAAGTTTGTTCTTTGCGCCTCTGTGCGGCATGAGCGCGACACCCGGGAGCACACCAGCCATCAGCGGGCGTCGTGCATGCTGTAAGGTGCCGCCCTTGGCAGAATGCAATCCATACGTGCGGCGTGAGCACATCCGGATGTACATGTGCATGCCGCGGCTTTGGTTTGCCGCCCGGCTGCGTGTGCCGGGGGTGTGTGCCGGGTGCCCGTTGCACCCTCCTACATGCTCCTGCCCCGCCGCGTTTGCAACGCCTGCGCCAGCCAAACAAACCCAACACACCCTCTCGCAGATCCTGCACTGGCGCACCAGCTCCCTACAGCCGCCGCCAGCGCCACCCCTACAGCCGCCCAACCCCCACCTTATCCCCAGCCTCATTCTGCCGCTCAACCCGCGCCTCTTGCCCGATGGCACCAC